GAAAACTTACTTACTTACTTACTTATCCAATCTACATACCCACATAGTAAATATATGCAAGTATATGTTTATCAGTCCACCTTCAGTTGCCATCGCGCCACTGAAAGCTGCCAAGCTGGCGTCATCTTCTACCACATATATGATTTATACCTTTAATGCCTTAGCTTCTCACATCCTTGCTTAGTTGTCGCCCCTCTTCCTCTCAACTCTCGCACTATGTATGTATGTCGGCATGCAATTGTCTCTAACAAATCCCATTAGACTGCTACGAATCAGCGAAAATCGGAAATAAAACAATTGCGGAAGGATATTGCGAGTAGGAGGAGAATGAGTGCTCCGATGCATATAAGCTGTAGGTAAATATACCTACATACATACGTACATACTTCCATGCCTACACATTACATTACTAAATTGGATTGTTTTATTGAAATGAATAGCTGATTGTTTCATTAAACTTTGAGCAGAATCTTTAGCACGAATATGGGGTAGACATGCACGTAGATTAGATTCGGTTACGGCGGTTCCCTCTCCGCGCAGTCAAGCAAAGAGGCACACGCAGATCCATTGCGATGCCATTACTAGCGAGCTCCTTGTTCCTTCCCATATTTTTTTTAAATTTTTTTGCACAGGTTGCAACCCTCTTCGAAAAATAAAATCTTACTGCCTTTTCCTCTGACACCTCGTTTTTTGAAACGCGTATTATAAATACACAATTTTTAAATAGGTGGCAACCACACTCAAACAAAAAATATTGCACGTGCAGAGATCATATCCTCTCACTAGGTACCTCAGTTTTTCGTCCAACAAACGGTGAAGATCATATAATTTTTAAAAAGTGGCAACACTACTCAAAAAGTAATGCATTATTGATCATCTAAAAGCCGAGCCCTTTTATTTGACACCACATTTCTTGTAATCCAACGAACAGTGCGGATCTAATAATTTTTAGACAGGTGGCAAGCCTATAAGAATTAAATTTACTAAAGATAATATTCCTATTGATACAGATTATTTTTAAAAAATCTGGTATAAATCCGTGCAGTAGTTTTTGACATTAGCGTGGTCAAAATATCTCGACTTTTCTTTATACTATGTATATTGAAGATAGTAATTTTTAAATAGGTGGCAATCCTATTCAAAAAATTAAAGCTTTTGTACATGCGAAGGCCAGGACCTTTCATTTGGTATCTCATTTTGTAATCCAACGAACGAAATTCTTTTAACTTTTTAATAGATGGCAACCCTAGTCAGAAAAATAATACATTATTGCACATGTATAGGCTAAGTCTTTTCATTTGGCAGTGATGGTGCAGATCTGATGGATGCGCTTATTACGATTGATCTTTTTTCTTTCATAAGTGCTTAGGCAGATTGGCTTAGTAACGGAACAGGTTGATTCCTTTACAGATTGGCTGTCAGAATAAATGGTAACGGGCAGCAGACAAGTTGGAAAACGCTACAGTGGTCAGGAAGCCGCAAGCTGAGGGTGGGTCAGAGGCCTTTAGAGTAAATTAGGCTACCAACCTTGTGGTCGAGCTTTGGCAGTAGACCCTGGATACATGTACGGGTGCTTTACGCAGTCGCTTCTGTCTCAAAACCTTATAAAAAACCTATTGTCGAACAAAACAATTGAGCTGGTATAATCCAGCTTACGTAGGGTTACTGGAGTAGTGCCCAGATTTTTTAACTGACCGAATCTGAGGTTTCTCCATGTATGCGTCGTATTAAATCTGGTTTCAGACTGCAGGTGGTGAATAACCCATAAAATCCTCGGAGTTACCTTCGACAGTCTGCACTCCTTTTCGGCGCAGACAACCGCAATTTTCAACAAATTACAGAGACGCAACAAGGTCCTCAAGTTGCTAGCCGGCAGCACTTGGGCAAAAGACAAAGAGACGTTGTTGGCAACATACAAGGCAATTGGCGGGCCGGTTCTAAATTATGCAGCGCCCGTGTACTCGACGGGGACTAGTGGGACGCAGTGGATGAAGCTGCAGACTACCCACAATACGCCCAGATGCTCCCCTTTAAGGAGCATAGCCCAATGCTCTGCAATCAGTTCCTAGTAGGGTGCCACAGACGAGGGCACCCGAACAGACAACTCCTAAAAAACGAGCCCTCGCCAAGGCTCCTCAAAAGGCATATCTACGATCTGACGGACGAAATCCGGAGGGTTATTAAAACAACCTCTGGATCCAACTGCATACCTACAGGCCCTAAACAGCATTCACAGGGAGCCGGTCTCGAGCTATATAGACTATCGACCTGTGAATGCCGTTCCCAGCACACAACCACCTGACGTGGGCGGGACAGAACTTTGTCTATAGCTATAGCAGCAGGCTAAACTCATGTCTGTGAGAATTAAAGAAGATGTGCCCAATCAGTGTTATGCCCGGAATGCGGAGAGGCACCTCTTTGCATACTCCCAAAACCCGGAAAAGCTAACGTCCTTGTCTCTATGGACATGCCCTGTTGAAGTCGCGCACTTCCTGGACCTTCCCTTATCTGAACAAGACGACAACGCAGATGGAAGAGCTGACTCGAACGGTGTTTAGTAGCCGCTACCAGAACAACATCATGGGAATCCTGAAATCTTGTTGGAAGTTAGAGCCGTATGAAGCTCCAACATACTTGTCTCATGACGCTGGATATCACGCCTTTTGCGAAATCGCCTCAACCTCACACCAAATTTTCTAATTCAAATTGAAAAACTTTTATTTACTGAATTTCTTGTTTGCCAAATTTTATTACCCAGATTATTGTGTGAGTAAATTGAAAATAAGATTTTGTTTATTCATCACGAAACTCACTCATTCTTGCCACTTCCACATTTCTCTCTTAACTTTGAGGATACACTGTCTAAACAATGGAAATGATTTGCTAAATTAATGGCATTGTCTGCATGTAAGCGCCACCAAAACCATATCTACCCCACCAATGCAAGCCGATGTCTCTGTGTTCATCTGCATTCCTGCCACTTTTTCAATTTTCCTTTGCACCAAATCATTGTTTGTTGTGTGTTGTTGTTGTTGTTGTTTGCATTGTTAATATTAATTTATTTTTGATTGCAATAGTGGCATAAACAAGAATAAATGAAAGTAGCAAGGAGTTAGCCGAGTTGGCATACAGCCTTCCTCATTTTCGTAAGCCACATTCTTCCACAGAGTTAACTGACTAACGAGCCTGCAGGATGTGTGCGCATGTGGGCATATAATAAATAAATTGATAAAGTTTCTGAGGTGGAAAATTGGGTTTATTGTTTGTATGATATGCATTTATGCTTTGCTTTTTATTCTCATCTTCTTTCTTTATTCTTGTCTGTTTGATTGTGTGGATGTGGGAGTATGCGCCTCTGAAGCAGAAAACTTTTCCAATTTCAATTTTCACATCCACGCCCGCTGGCTAACTTCTAAGCCGCACACAGTTGCAGTGGTGATATATAAAATTATTGTAAATTGTCTTTGGACATCCCTTCGCTGGGAGTCATGCCATACACAATGCACTCAAGTGGAATTTACGCCATTTTTGTTATTGCAGGTTTGGTTTCAAAATCGCCGCGCAAAATGGCGCAAAGCCGAACGCCTTAAGGATGAGCAACGCAAGCGCGAGAATGGCGAGAGTAGCGGTTCGCTGGATAAGGTGAGTAGAGTAGGCTACGAACGAAATTCCACTTCAAAAGACTTTTTTGTTTTATATAAAACATACATATTTAACTTAAATTTTTTCACTTTTTTTCTCTTCCCCTCAGCTTCATGACAGTCGCGAATCATCGCCTGACATTACCGGCGAAATTGATGATGACGAACCTTCGCTGCGTCGCTCTCACAGTCCTGGTCCTCCATCGGCCAGTCCGCATGCCATGGACTCGGATAATGAACGTCCGCTTTCTTCCACGCAACTAACCACTCAATCGGCTTCACAGTCTCTTGGCTCGATTAGCGCTGGTTCGCCGTCGCCTAGTGCGCGTGCCACGCCTCAACAATGTCCCAATAGCCCGACATCGAATTCGCGCCACACCGATTCACCGATCGAGGTTGGCGGTCCGATTTCGTTGACTTCGCGTACATCGTCCGGCACCACGCCCACATCGGCGCTGCATAGCACGCCTACTTCATTTGGTAGTCATATCTTCGGCAATTTTGGCGGTGATAGGTGAGTGAATGNAAGTGTTGACAATTTTTTTTTTTTATGAAATGTGATGGTCATTAGTATTTGAAGAGTCTGAATATAAGTAATTATTTCGCGCCAGCTAATTTAGGGAATTTAAGCGGCCTCAATAACTTTGGTGCTGGAGCATTTGGGTTCCATTCATAGCGCATAAAGTAACCAGAATAAAGCCTAAATCTACTACAGAATCTTTCTCTCGAATACTCTGATCCATGTACCATGACGGGCATATCACGATTTCTCTTAACCTGACGTTTTTGGATTTTTGACGACGACGAGTGAGTAATCACTGCAATGTAGCAGTCGCTGACAGTAATGATTCTCCGTTGAACGTCAAGGCTAGCGGTCTTATCAGCTAGCGATAACCGTTATTCCAAAAAACTTTATTACGGATGTTGTTCGCGTTTTGCAGCTTAGAAAAAGAAGCTAACGGGGTTGGTCTGGCGGTGAACGACACATAAAAAGTCTTCGCGCATTGAAGTAGTGAAGGACTTAGTTTACTGAGGATCCAGCATAAACACCACCAATAATGTCAGTCTGGCGAAGAATAACTCTGTGCTACTTTGGGCTCGGTAGGCAATTGAAAAGCAGAGCCCTCTTTCGACGAACAAAAATCACGTTCTACAAATATCTCATCATGCCCGTCCTTTTATATGGCGCAGAAACATGGACGACATCTTACATAGATGGCAAGGCTTTGGGGGGCTTTCGAGAGATTTATTCTTCGCAATATCTATGGCCCAGTTCGCGTGGGCGACGAGTACCACAGAAGATGGAATAACGAACTGTACGAGCTTTTTAACGACATGGACATAGTTAAGTGCATAAAATTACAACGATTGCGCTGGCTTGGACACGTTGTACGCATGGATGGCGACGCTGCGGGGAAAAGACCCTTCGATTCCGTACCCATGCGTGGACACCGAAAGCAAGGGCGCCCAGGAACACAATGGAAGGACGAAGTGCAGAAGGACCTGCCCGCACTGCGGATAAACAACCGGCGGAAAGCTGCAAAGGAGAGAGGCAGCTGGCGAAGTTTTTTGTTATCGGCCCAAACCGGCAAACGGTTGTAGTGCCAAATAAGAAGAAGAAGAAGTTTTGACAGGAAATCTATCAACAGTTGTAAACGCCGAATTGGATAAATTTTTTGACGAAAACCCATACCAGATCTAGAACTTACGGCAATAACAGGCGCTATTTAACAAAACATTATTGCGATTGAAGGCCATTGGTTCGGTCCAGAAAGTCGGAAACTCACGAACTCAAATTAAGCGATATCGAACGGCGTGTCTACTGTTTCCCAAATGCACATTCAATAGGACAAAACGGACTCGTTTTTGCATTGCATGGTCAATCGGCGATGAAAAATGGATTCGAGCGCAAGAATACATACGTTAAGCACGGCAAACCCGGATCATCGGTGCCAAAGCCAAATAGCCATGGCAGCAAGGTAATGCTCTGCAATTGATGGTACCAGGAAGGAATCCGGTTCCGTGGACTCTCCACAGACAACAACTGAAGTGATTGAAGTAAGCTATTGCGGATAAACGGCCGGAAATAGCAACCAGGCATACGTCATTGATCTTCCACTATATCGTTGCTCGGCCGTATGGTATCGAATGGGAAGTCCTAACCCAACCGTCTTCTAACCCAGATCTTACACCACCATTTCTACCATTCGCTTCGGTCGTTCAGAGCGCCCTTACTGCAGAACGCTTCACTTCAGTTGGAGGTATCAAAAATTCGCTCAATACTTTCTTGGTCTGCAAAGACGAGCCAAAAAGTAAGAGAAGTAACAAAAGTGTAGGGGTCACATTGTGTACTTCTTCTTTATATTTGTCAATTAATTTATCCAGCTCTTCGCCCAAGTTTAACACTTTGCCATGACTTGTAATAAAGACTAGAAATACTGCGACTATTCAAATACCACTCGTACGGAAGCTTAGAAGTTTTTCGCTTTCAAGCTGATATCTCTGGTATGAAGGTTTTGGCCTCTCGGTTATCCAAATAAAGTAGTTTTGCTTTGCAGCCCCAAGATAGTTCAAGGAAGAGTTCTAAATCACTGGGCTGCCTCTTTACTGAGACAATATCTGTTACTTCCTTCGATGCTATGCTCGATTTTGGAGTCGTCGGGGTACCAGATATGACTGTGCTTCCAAAATTTAGAAAGATCTTCTTTCCAAACGATTCCGCTAGGTAAAAACGACTTTAAACTTTCGTTTATAGTCAAACCTCGGAAATCATTAATTCACAACGCTTGCATGTAGTCCTTTCCTGGTACTCTGAAAGTGAGTAATGTAGCCGCTTTTAACACTCCAAAATTTATCCTGAGTTGAGTACTGCGTGCATAGTGAAGAGAGAGCAACCACTCACACATCGCTTCAGTCCAGTTAGTGCCTCCTTGGTAGGCTATTGAATGCAAATATTGATTTATGTAGTAAACAATTTTGCCTTAAAAAGATCTCTCCCACACGATCTTATCTCCTCTTAAGTTTCTCATTACGAATACCTAAACTGAGATATCGAGAAAACGAAATCAAATTTTGTTTATATTTATCCCAAAATCAATGAAGGCGGTAAATATCGTTTAAATGTATGTCACGTGCAAGCAATTCCAAGTCATTAACGACTAATGTGGAATCAAACGTGGCGAAGAAGGCCAGCACAGTGAGTGCTTGGCTACGACCAACGAACAGACAAAAGTTTGCGCTTAATGTTTCCGCAGTGCATGCAGTTTCCGGGCACAACAACACAGCGAGACGTGAAAGATTTTGAGGGTATACATTAGGGTGGGCCCTAAAAATATCAACTTCTCAAATTTGTATGCGTACCAAATAAAGACATCCACGAAAATTTAAAAAATAATATAAAAAAAAATTTTATCGCAAAAACTCGAAAAAAATTTACTCGATATTTGATAAATTTGGTATATTATTGAAATTTATATGAAATATTTCCATAAACTCGCTGAATTATAGCTGGTCAAAACCAAAATTTTATCGAATTTTTGCAATAAAAAAAAAAATTTTCAATATTTTTTTATTTTTGAATTTTCATGGATGTGTAGTTTTGTACGTAGCCCAAAATGAAGTTGTTTATATTTTAAGCACGACCCTAGTATACATATGTATGGATATGTATAAATAAGAGGCAGCAGGGCGTCCACAAAGACGCTGGGGCGCGCGCACTGATAAGCACAGACGAGGCTACACAGGAAATCATGTTTTGGTAAATGACCAAAATTCTTTAGTAACGGTGGTAAACGTACCGAAACACGTTTCCGCGATTCGAGTACCAGCATGTATAAGCGGGTAAGGGACAGTGGTGTTGCCAGAAGTGAGATTTATCTTCAAAATGAAGACTTATCTAAAAAAAATATTACTGACAAAAAAAATTAAATGAAGTTATTAAAATGAAACCAAAATTCCAGAAAAACAAATCTTCAGTATGGAGAGTTCTGGCAGTACTTGAAAATTTTCTATGTGGTTCTTACAGCAAAAGTGAAAAGGGTTTTCTCGCAGATTAATTTTAAGAAAACAAAAATTGGTTACAAGATGGACACTAAAAATTTGAAGTGGCATGCTTCTCAGAAAATTTGACTTAAAAATAACACAAAATTTTTTCAAATGTAAATTGAGAAATATTTAGACATTTTAAAGCTATAATATGCAAGTGTAAATAATTCTTTTGGGTAATTTTTGTCTCGTAAGCGATGCGTCTAGTCAAAAAATCACTGAGCAAGCTTTTCCTCGAAATCTTAATTTTTGAAATTCGGTATTTTTGGGGTTTCGCAGTTTGTGCACTGCCACGTAAAAACAAATGTGTCGAATAAATTATTTTCTCAGAAGCTAATGCGTCTAATCAAAAAAGTACTAAACACACTTTTAAAGCAAAATTTTTCATGGAATACGTGTTATTTTTAATTTTCTTTGTAATTTTGAAATTTCATATTTCTCTGGCGAACAAGATTTCATGAAATTGCCATACGGCATTCAAAATTAGACAAACTAAGCTTTCAATTTCAAATAAATTTTGGGGATTATTATTAGGTCTGCCGTCCAAAAATTATGCATCATAATTTTGACATTGATCATTTTCTATATCTACAACTTATTACCTTAAAAAAAATAAAATTAATTAAAAGAGCATCTTTAGTAACTATTCGTCCTTGTGAACCAAAAAGATTTAATTTTTTTAAATTTTGCAGAATTTTTTCTTTCATTTGATAGCCATATTGTTATTTTGCACGGAAGAAATTTTTTAATATCATTTTTCGAATAAGTCATATTTTTGAAATTTAAAAGTCATCAGAGAGAAGTCATAAAAGCGCAATTTTACCATATTTGGGCCATGCTTTCGTAATTGATTGTTTCGTGTGTGTTCAAATTGGTCTGTTTCTATCGTTGTTTTGTGTTAAACTTTATGTTTTTGAGATATAAACCAAACTGAATTTGCTTTTAGCTTCGAATAATCAAAAATATGTATGTTTTATTCACAAAGTACCTTTTTTGCAATATTTTTTAATAATTTCCGATTTTTGAAGATTTACAGCCAATTCAAGTGTAAAATGATTCCAACTTTTTTTTTAATTTTACATGGACATTTAAAAAATTAATTTTCACGAAAAAATTTCTGGCAACACTGCTGAAGAAAAATGTATGAGAGTAGTTTCTGAAAGCGATATTTTCGAAGCATACGTTTGGGCTCGTAGCAAAGTTTTTTGCGTGGAAAGCAGCTAGCCTCAACATTTGTTACGTGTATACCCTTACTGGCGGGGCTTTATTCCGAGATTCATTACCTCTTTTTTTTGCAATTTTTACACTTTTTTCCTTGCGAAATTAAATTCGCCTTAATTGCACCATTTTAGTTCAGCTTTTCGCTTACCTTTGTTTTCTTCATCAACTTTGTTTGCGTTTCGAGTGGCACTCCAGCATGTTTGTTTTTGTTTTTGTTTCATTTTTTTTTTACATTTGAACGACTAGTCA